ATATCTCTCAATTTCAATAACTTTCTCTAAAAACCAAAGCTTAAAGCTGTTGGTTTCACAGCCCAAAAGCTTTTAGCTTTGATTAGGTACCTATGTGACCAGGCAACCCAGAGGCTATCTTTCTTTCTAGCAAATAATTTCCAAATGTGCTTCAAATTAGCAGCTGAGTTTGTCATTTCAAGGTTGGGAAGGCCTAGCCCTCCATTAATACCACATCCCATGCAACTTTAGCACAAGAAGCCTTCAGTTCAGGGCTGACCAGAGAAATCTCTTTACAACTCTATTAACATCTTCAATGACCTTCTTAGGTAAGACAAAAGCTTGTGCCCAGTAACTTTGCAGTGAACAGAGTATGGATTTGACAAGGACAATTCTGTAAGCAAAGGAAAGAAACCTTGAAGTCCATCTTTTCACTCTTGCTGCGAATCTCTCTACATGGGAAGTACAATTTGTTGAGCTGAGGGTTTTTGATGTAAGTAGTAATCCCAGGTAAGTTACTGGTAATGAACCAATTCCAAATTGGAGTAGGGCTAAAATATCAGCTTTGGTTTGATCATCAACACCAGAGAAAAAAAACAAGGCTCTTTGATAGGTTTATGCTTAAACCAGAAAATTTAAGGAATTGCTTAAATGCCTGGAAGACAATCTGAACTGAGGACAAACTCCCATGAGAGAACAGTAAGACATCATTTGCAAATGCAAGGTGGGATAGGGCCAATTTACTGCATCTCCAGTGATATTTAAAAGTAGGGTTGCTCACCGTGGCATGATTCAAGGATTGGGTGAGGACCTCCATTGCAATGACAAACAATAGAGGAGAAATGGGGTCTCATTGCCTAATCCCCCTTTGCCCTTTAAAAAATCCAAAAAGTTCAGCATTGAGGGATATAGAATAGGATGGTGTGGTTATGCACTGGGTAACCCATTGGATAAGACATTCAGGAAATCCCATAAGGTTTAGGGTATCAATTATGAATTGCCAATGAATACTATCAAAAGCCTTTTAAGATCCATTTTCAGTGCACAACTAGGGGGATGTGGGGACCTATGGTACCTATTAAACAGCTCATGAGCCAAGATAACATTCTCAGAAATATGCCTTCCTTTCACAAAAGCATTCTGAGTGGGACTGATTAAAAAAGGTAAAGCTGTGCTAATCTTCAAGGCAATGATTTTTGAAATACATTTGTAAATTAAATTGCAACATGAAATGGGTCTAAAATCATGGACTGTTGTGGGATTTGGAGTTTTAGGCACTAGGGAAATATATGAGCAGTTGATTTCAGTGAGCAGTTTACCAAAGATAAAGAAGTCCCTAATGGCTGCTGTGACTTCCTGAACAATAATTGGCCAAGAATGAATGAAAAAACTTGAGTTAAATCCATCTGGACCTGGACTTTTAAAGGGGTGAAAGGATAGCAAACATTGTCTAATTTCACTATCAGTAGGGATTGCTCATAATGAGGGAATAAGGTTGGTTGGAATAGTTTTGGTAATGAGATGAGAAAAAGGATGTCATACCTGTGTATTGTTGGTAAGGTTGACCAATCAGCCCCATAAAATGATTGAGAAATTCCTGCTGCAATTCTTTACCATGAAGCTGAACCCCATCACTGTTTGTTATGGTTTCCACTTTTCTCCTGTTACACTTTGTGGAGAAATTTTTCATGAAGAAAGAGGTATTCTGATCCCCTTCTTTCAACCAGTGTACTTGAGCCTTTTGTTTGTACAATAACTCTTCAGCAAAACACAATTCAGAAAATTTGCCCACCAATTCCTTTTCTCTATTTCTTAGCTGATCATCCATGGGATTAAGGTCCAAGTTGGATTGACAAGAATATAGGTCCTCTCTACAAGCCTGAACTCTGGCAGAAATATCACTGAATTCTTTCTTGTTAAGCTGCTTAAGTGGTCCCTTCAGAGCTCTAAGCTTCTGCACAACTCTAAACATTTTAGTACCATGAACCTCAAGCTGCCACCCTTGAGAAACAATTGAGAGAAAATTCCTGTATTGAGTCCATAAATTAAAAAATCTAAAAGGCAGGTTCCTTTTCACACTAACTTCACCAATGCTCATTATTTTCTAATTAAGCACTAACTATTAACTGTTTTAAGTTTCAATCTCCTCCTTATTTGGATCTTAATTGTATATATATGATACATTACCTGTACACCTCTGATGAAGTGTTTTCGATCTCCCCATTGAATTAAAATGCTCGGACAACCCTAATCTTTGAATTTGATTAACCATACAAAGCTTTATAAGCTCCTCATCCATGGGATAAATTGATGGAACTGCACCAAAAAACAAGTTCAGAATTCTATATACATTAATTCCTACACACATACATAAATTAATGAAGCCTTGAGAATTGGTAATATAAAATCATATATAGAATTGAGAAGCTTTTCATAACCTCCATGACCACATCTTCGAACTAGAGAGACTAAGTAGTCCATGCACTTCTGATTTCCAGTAGTCATATAGGCGTATGCCGTGGCAGAAGGTGATTGGAACAGTGAGCTGTCTGATCCATTCAAGTGCATCACTACATCTTCTTGATCAATATCACATGTTGATGGCAAGGCCTCCAAATATGACAACAGTGGAGGATAATGGTATTTATCAACAAATTCTTCCCTACAAATACATGCATACATGTTACTGATTAATTTAATATCTTGGTGTTCAACAATAATTTTAAAAATATAAATTTGAATATATGCATATTTATAGGTAAGAATTTACATATCAAGAATCCGTTGCCTGTGGAAGAAAACATCCAACACTTCTCCTTTGAGCTCGCCAGGGAAGACAATTTCTAGACCTTTTGCTTGAGAAAGTTCAACCATTGCAGGGAAAACAATAGAAAACCAACGAGGATATCCATCTTGTTTTACTTTGAGAAGCAACTCCATGTTTGCATGAATAAATTCCAATCCTAAAATTTTGAAAGAAATAAAGTGCTTATATGATCATCTCATTAATTGATATATATACAAATAAAATTTAAACGTACAATGCTCAGTTTGCAAGTGTTTCTTACTTTCTTTTGCTTTGTAGTTTTTGGTTTGGTAGTGAGGATTTACAAAATATTTAATTGATATCAAAATATTTAATTGATATCATTTATGAAATTTTGTTTTCGTATACCGTTCAAAAAAAATAAAAATAAAAAAATTGTTTTGGTAATGGAAATATGGAAATGCTGATAGCGATTTTATATATATATATATTTTTCTTTAAAAATATCATAATAAGGTAGAAGTCTATGATTGGACACTCATAGCTTAAAATATGCATGCACATGGTACGATAGTGATATTTGAAACCGTACACTATTCTATAGAATCTATGCATAGTAAGTGCATGTTTATAAATTTACCTACGAAAAAAACAGTACTGTGTGTATATATATAGACATACATAGATATATACCTTTCTTTATGTTTTGGTCCCCAACGTTCCATGTTTTGAGCACAAACATGCAAGCAAGAGTTGCAGGAAGAGTATCAATGGTGCATTGATCCTCTCCCCGGAACCCTTCGTCTCTTTGGTTGTCGAGAATCCAATCCAAGCAACCCTTGAACATGGGACAATCCCGTTGTTCGGGGTCTGGAATCATGGCTAACCATGCAGTGTCATAAGCTGAAGGAGAAACAAATGAATAAACATCAATAAAATTAGTACTACTACTAGTAGAGAACATCTCTTCTTTGATCTCATTAACTAGGGTTTGAAGTGAGGTTGGTACAGAGGATTCCATGGAAACAAAAGCAAGGTTTTATATATATAACACATAATTTCTTTATGTGTGGACTGGTGTAGCATTAAGAAGCAAACAAGCAAGTTATTTATGGAGAAATTTATGCATGCACGTAATGGTTAGGAACCACAAATTTATGATTTCACGTGGGCCTAACGGTGTGGACAAATTTTGCAACTTCGCAATTTATTGATTGATTATGAATGAGATGACGCAATAATGTAACATCACCTCTTATGCCTGTTCCTAATTTATTGATGAGAGAATAATGTGATGCTACCTGCGGATGGTCAGTGAAAAAGTATATAATATCTCCCATAAGTAATGATATAAAGATGGCTTTCTCGGAAGAAGAGTTATGAGTTATCTATTTTTAATTTGCTAAATTGGGAGTTTTTTTTTTTCTTCGAGACATAGCGGTGTTGGCAGGAATTTGGGAGGTAATTTTTTAAGGTATCACTTTCGAATCACACTCTTAACTTGAATTGTGCGTGTATTGTGAGACCGAAAAAAATAAATAAATAAATAAATAAAGGTTTAGATAAGTTAAAATTATCCAACTCTTTGCGGGACATTAAGTAAGGGCCCGTTTGGGAAGTGTAGTATGATGTAGTGTAATGCTCTAGCCTAGAACAGAACAAGTGTTTTGTAGTGTGGTGTTATGAAATAAGAACAAAACATGTTTGGTAACGAAAATTTGCTCTGAGAATTTTGGAACAAAAACATGGTAGAACATGTTTGGTAATGTATATTGTTCTAAAAAATATAAGAACAAAACATGTTTGGAAGACTGAAAGTGTAACCAAAATCAGTAGAAAAATAAAATAATTAAATATATTGGATTAAGAATGTTTTTAAATAATGTTTTCTTGAATACATTTTTTCTAACTTTATTAAGTATAAAGTTAAATTTAATTATTGTATAATTTTAATATACAATTGATATAACTTTTAATATATATATATTAAATATATATAGATTGTTCCTCCATTTATCTTAGTTTATTATAAAAACCATTAAAATAAATTATAAATTGCAAAACCTATTAAAGCTGCATATTATTTTGACAGTTGTCCTATACATTATTTCAATATGGAACTGAAAGAAAGTTTCAATATATTATACATTTCATGAATTTTAATATATTACATACATAAGTTTCAAAAATATTACAGCATTCGTCAACAGTCACAATAAAAATTCTTGAAATAAAATTAAACTAATATATTACATCATTTCTCAACAACCACAATAATCAACAACAACAACATGAGCAAAAACAACAAGAATATAGTTATAGTAATACAACAACAACATCCATAGATAATGTAGTTTTGCCGATTTTCTTGAGCTTGCATAACAGCAACTACATCCTCCAACTCTTCCTGTACATGACCACCCACTTGTAGTCGTTGGTGCATGTCATCCAACCATATAAATGCACGATCATATGACTAAATTAGAACAAAGAGTTGTACATTACTAGAATACACCTGTAACACTAAGATGTAGTTAAAATATTCTTATTAATGCAAAGAAAATTGTATACCTCCCAAGCTGGACATCTATAGAATGAATGTCCATAATTCTTAGAAGTTCTAGCCGTATAAAGATTCATTCGACCCCTTCCACATGCACAAGGTGGCCCGTCAACCTGTATCTTATACATGACTGCATATATAAGTTATTAAACTGATCCAAAGAAGTTAATAAAAAATATACAGAGAATACTTTATCGAAATCGTAAATTAATGTGAAAATAAAATAGTTATTACAGTTATCCAAATCCTAAGAAATAGTTAAAATAAAGTAGTAGTTATAGTTATTCAAATACTAACAAATAGGACAAGTATAAAGTAGTTATTACAGTTATCCAAACATAGTAAACATGTAAATCTTATTTCAAGGGTGATGACTTGCATTCCATATAGTATCAGCAATATAATCGTGTACAATATCCATTGGTCACGAGCGAGACTGCGACACATTAGGCTGAACATCAACTTCATCATCTCCAAAAATTTCATTTATTATTGCCTCCACAGTTGCATCATTAAATATTGGATCTACATGTGCCTCTTTTCTTATAAAGTTATGAAGTGTGCAGCAAGCTAAAATAATAGCAATTTGAGCTTCAAACCTATATGGGAGCATTTGCTTCAAGATGGGGAATCTCATCTTAAGCATCCCAAAACAACGCTCAATTATATTGCGCAATGACAAGTGCCTGTGACTATATATTTCTTCTCTACCTTGGGGTTGTCGAGAAGCTCTACGGTACTTTTGGAAGTGGTACCGTTAGCCCTTGTAGGGAGCCAAGAAACCCAATTGATTGGCATACCCAGAGTCCACCAAATAATATTTTTATGCCATTTTACAAACTATAAGGCACGTTTTATTACCATGATATTTTAAATAAGTATTGCAAAATTATAGCAAGTATGACATTTACCTTCTGGAGGCACTAGGAAATGCAAATCCTCATTATTAATGGTCTCGTTCAATATCTTAGAATTATTAGCAGACCCCTCCCATCCTGCTACGACGTACGTGAACATCATATCAAAATCACAAATAGCCATTACATTTTGTGTTGTATCCCCCTTCCTTCTACGAAATGGTATTTGCTGGTCCACAGGTACGTTCGCATGAACATGAGTTCCATCAATTGCCCCTACAAAATTCTTAAAAAAAGGGTGGTACTTTTTTTACTTCTTTATATGGTTAGGAACTTCGCTAAAATCTGGGGTGACAATAATCTGTTTCCCTAAATCACAGACTTTTTGTAAAACCGCGTGGAAGTATTTTGAAATTGTATAGGTAGAGTGTTAAAATCTTTCTGCGACCACACGATTCCTTTCATTATGAGCTAAAGTAAGCAAAAATACCCCAACTTGTTCATAAACACTTACCCCTGTAGAGTCTTTCAACCCTAATGACTTAAGCTCCCCACACAACTTCAAAAAAACAGGGGTGGACATCCTGAAATTTTCAAAACATCTACTTCCATGCCCATGCAAGATCTCCATTATCTATGCTTCCCCGGTTAAAAAAGAATCCCTACAAGGTCGTTTTTCGTAATGTTTTTTATAATAGTCCAACATACATGCCATTATGATAACATAATCATTCTCCTCATCACCATCATCATACAAATCAATTATTGTCCTAATATCCATCTATATAATACAACATTTAATAAACGAGATAAATTATAATCATCTCAAGCAAAATACCAAATAATAAATAAAAGCAAGACAAGAAATAAAATTAAAGCAAGCGAAATAGTTATATTGTCATTACAATGAAACCAAATAACATAAATACGAGTGTACTTAATATTACAATCAACCAAAGTCATAGCAAAACCAAATAAGAAATAAAAACGACACACCAAAAGTCATAATACGTACTAGTACAGTTATCCAAAGTTATAATAAAACCAACATACCAAGTCAAATTCTAATGATCCAACCAACCCTCTTATCATCAGGAAGGTCATTAAGAAAGAAATCCCTCCAAACTTCATCATTACGTAACATCTGGGTGACCTTAGCATATTGTTTCATATCAACGCCCTCCAACTTATTCAAAATATAACAACATAATTTAAAATCACTTTTTGTCTTGTCCGGAGAATTGACTTCAACTTGCCCAGCTTCATGAACTGTTTTCATATTAGATGATGAAAAAGCAACTATGGCCCTTTCAATTCGATCTGTTTTCTCTCTATAAGTGTCACTCATTTTCTCCATGATACAATCCATTGTAGAGGCAAAACTCTCTCTCTTTGGTTTCTTACCACGAGGTTCAGGAGAAGGAGTGAACTCATGACGGCCTAACTCAGCAAAATCATCATTAAGGTCAAATGAGGTATATGTGCCTTCATGGTGTGCGGGGGCTTGGTTGAGAATGGATGGACTGTAGGAAGTATGGACATGTGCACCTGTAGCGTGTGTGCCTCCAAATATGGTGGTGAGCTTGTCAAAATGATTGCATGGCTTCTTTTGATACTTACCATATTGGGCATTCACTTACAGATTATTAAATTACTATTAATATTAAGTTAAGTATAATTTTTTGTAAAATTAACATACATTTATTTGAATAACTAACCTTGATTAATCTAGTCCATCTTTCATTTTCAATTATAACTATGTCCATCTCAGCATTATATCCCACGCTTGTTTCTCCTAACAAACTCACAAAGGCTTTGTAGTCTACCCTCATGTGGTTGAATTTGCTCTTAAGTTGTTTCGGTACATAGTTCTTGCCTGTACGGACCATCATGCCTTTTCGTATATTCTTCCAACCATTTGGACTAAAAGTTGTGTTATTCCGATTACCAGCATTAACTTCTTCCTCCATACAGATGATGAAAGCTTCAATATGAGAATCATCCCATACTAGTTTTCCATCACCGGTATTGTCTGTAAGGTCCTCTATTTCTTCTCCCACCACATTGTCAGCATTGATATCCATCTAATTACATAGTTTTAATAAAAATGTGTTAAAAGAGTCATTAACAACTGTAATCTCCTATTAAGAAAGTACGAATACATTTACTAAGTTGTCATAATAATATGACTCATCATGAATTCTACAACTTCAGTCCAAAAAGAAGTTTAATTTAACCATAATTGAATAAGTATTGATAATGGCATTATTCAATGGTCTTGTTGATGTACTCTATATTATAATACCATGAGGATGTTTTTAGCATTAACACTTATAAATTTTCAATTGAGGGCAACGAATACCCCATCTTTTTTAATTTTGTATTATATATAGAGAGAGAGAGAGAGAGAAATGAGAATAATAAGATTTTTGTCACTAAATTTTATCTTTTATTTTTAGTTTCATTTTGTCCAACTGTTTGCGTATAGTAAGTAAATGCTTCTGGATCATTCATACAAATATCTAATGGAAATGTGAATTGTGTGACCAAGAAGTTAACACACCTCTAAGTTGCTTTGTGCCAATGCAAAAAGAGGGAAACAAAAATTATCCTTGTGTGTGTATGCAAGAAACAAACTCCAATATAAAAAATTCCACTATGTTCAATAATTGCTTCCATGTTTAGTTTCTTACAACTGTAATCTCCACTATGTTCGCTAAAACCTATTTCACTAGTGTTCCAAATCAAGAGTCACTTGAAAACCCTTATGCTTATGCGGCTTAATTTCAACACGAAAACCAGCAAATCAACAATGGCATCTTGCAGACAAAGTTTCTTTGTACAACTAGGGGGAAATGGTGGAGGAAAAAAAAAAAAAAAGGCATGAACTGTCATATATATATAAATATTGGATTTTGCAATGTACACAACAAGTGAGATGGGTTAATTTATTTGGTACAACAATTAGTCTATCTCATTTTTTGAGTCCTTTAGTGAGAATAAGATAAACTAGACAGCAATAAAAATTATAGCTACAACAATTAAGTACACTGTTAGGTCAAGGGAAGCACACAAACATGGAAATTCGACCAAAGCCAATAAACATATATCCATATACAAAAGAGAGAATCAACCAAAATGAAGCATTATTTTGAGTCTCTGTTATCCATATATCCATATATATACATATGTGCGCCAGTGTGTGTGTATATACACACAAATATAAATATATGCTCACACACATACCAGAAATGCCAAGTGAGATTTGGTGAATTTCTAACTTCTAAAGATTTTTTAAGAACTCCAAAATGCCGAGAAACTCACTTGGTGTCGACGATGAACGTACTAGACTGAGAATCACCTGTGAATTCGAGAGTGCAGAGAGCAGCGGCGAAGCTTGGGTTCGCCGGAAAAAGCAGAGCAGAGGTGAGACAGAGGGTTCCTCTCTTCAGATCTGCATACACAGCTCAGCGATTTGAAGCCTGATCTTCAAACAACAATACCAATTTTATACAGAGCACAACGAATTCTGATGAAGAAGAAGTAGAGGAACTCACCGGTGAGAAGAAGACGACTCTCGGAAAGCTTCAACCCCTGTACACTGTGAATCGCCTCTGTGAATCGTCTAGAGAGAACCCTAGAAATATTCCACCGAATATATTTATATGTGTTCTCAGAATCAGTGGCGGAGGCAGCATGTGCCCAGGGGGGGCAGCTGTCTCCCCTGCCCATGCTGCCCTACTATAATTTTTTATTTTTTTTATACATATATTTGTAAAAATTGATAAAATGCCCTCCCTGAAATCTTTAAAATGGTCATTTTGCCCCTGAATCTACTAAATTTTATTTTATTTTATTTTATGCATATAATTTGTAAATATTTATAAAACACCCTCATAAAATTTATAAATTATCCCAATAAAATTATCTATTTCTAAAAACGTCTTGAATTCTATATTTTTTTTCCTTCTTATTCTTCAAATTTTTTTTTGTTATCTTCAAAAACTTTTGCATTCTCTTTCTATAATTAAAATCTATTTTTTCCTTTAAAATTCTCTCATATTTTTTTCTTTTTATTTCATTTTCTTCTTAAAAAATTCATTTTTCTTCTTAAAATTTTATTTTTTCTTACACGCATCCATAATTTATGTGCAATAACCCTTCTTTTTATTTTTTTTATCATTTTATTCATTTTTTATTCACTTATTTTAATACACTGTTGTTACACTATTATATTTTCGACATACTTGAAAAAAAATTATTTTGTCAATGTTAACATGCCCCTCCTGAACCAAATTCCTAGCTCCGCCCTTGCTCAGAATGCTCCAAGTTTGGACTGTTGTTCGTAGCTCTACAGTGAATAGTGGACCGGCTTTATTTTGGGTACACTTTGGAACACCGATTTTTTGTTCCGGAAATTGGCCCATTCTATGAAATTGTTCTTGCACTGTTGGACACAATACAGCCCATGCCAAACAAGTTAGTGTCCTCAATAGTATCCATTTGCACCGTAAGAAACAGCACAGATAGAGCATCCCTCAAACAGGGCCTAGTTTAGTTGTTTTTATCCAAATGGTTTACTGAGAGTTTATCAATGTGAAATGACATTTTCAATTCCGATGTATACTACAGGAACTATGTGCGAGTGTTGTCAATTCATAACATGCTCTGGCAGTCCGATGAATCATCCCCTTCACTCCCACAATTCGGGGGCCCAATTTTACAAAACCTGGCTTATCACTCCATACATCAAACAACCAACGTGTTGTTTGTTCCATTTTTTATGAATTGGACAAGACTTGTACATTTTTGTTCCTGTAGTATATATTATTGATTCTGACGATAATCATTTTTGCACATGAATTGACAAGACTTGAACCCCCAAAATTTTCAAATCAGTGTTTTTTTATTTTTATTTTGTCTTAAAGGCATTTTAGGTATTTCTGTCTTTAAATTGAAAAATTTTCTTTATTTACTCAATTTAAAAAATATAGGTAATATTTTGAACAAGGGAGTATTTACATATTATGCATATAGCATAATTTTTTTTCCTTATTATAATAAATTATTGACCTAGCTATTTTGTTCATTATTTATTTATTACATTTAATTACTAATTACAGTACTTGCTAGTAAAGCTTGGCTATTGACTACTGATTAATAACTAACAACTTGCAAAAGTTACAGAGCGCAAGTGCCATGTTGCCTCTCGTGTTTAGGAGTCTGTATTTGAGTCTTGCACCCTCCTCCTCTTCTCTAACTACTAACCCTTATATTCTTGCCCAAGAAAAAAAAAACTAGAGAGTAAACCTTAGAAGTTTGTACTTGTATTAGCTTTGCTATGAGGTACAGAAAATTGATTTTTATCAACATAATAATAATTTTTTTATGCAGTTGGCCTAATATAATGGTGAATTGATTTTTAGCAACACAATAATAAATTTTTTAAAATTTGAGATCTGAACAAAATTTAACTATCTTTCAGTATAAAAATAAAATCAAATTAGATCATTAACTGTTAGACATTTACGGTGACTTATTAGTTGGGATGAAAAAATGGTCCTTCTCGTATAAAATGGTTTTGGAGGCCGATTTAATGGTTTTGGAGGCCAATTTAATGGTTTTGGGCAAGAAGGAATTTATAATGCAAAAAATACTATTCTACCAAAATATTTTATGTTATATACAAAATTGCCTTTATCGTTGGAGGAATGTTGCTATTTATTTGGTTAAATTGGTATAATTGTGTAAAGTTTGAAAGAATATGTTTTTTTTATTTTTTATTTTTTTTATTTTATATTTTGAAATATGAGTTTTAAAATTTGATTGGAAAAATTAGGGATAAAAAAAATTTAGGTGGAATTTAAACAGGGAATCTTAAATGGGTGCAAAAGTTGTTTGCTAAATGGTTTTAGACGGGGACGGGGACGGGGACGGGGACGGGGACGGGCGGGGCGGGGTAGGGCGGAGGAACTTTTTTTTTCCAAGTTGGAAAACTCACACACACTGCCTCTACTGAAATTCGAACTCCTAACCTCTCTTTGAAAAGTAGGAGCCTTGTATCGCTAGACCATAGGCCTGTTAGTAAGGGCGGAGGAACTTAACAGAGGTGGTGGACGAAAAAGGACACCCCCACTCCAAATATGTCCTTGTCACATGTAACAGCCTACTCTACCACGTAGTAACTTGGGTGTTATGCCCCTTAGGGGGTAATTGTGGCGATTTTTGTAGGCGGGTGCGAGATATTAGGCAACCTATTATACCAGATGAGTTACAGGTTACACAAGTTCACATCGCTTGAGTAAAATGAAGGTGAAGTGATTTATATGTGCTAATGTTATCTCCAAAATGGTACCAAACATATTCAAATAAAACAAAAGGACAAAATTTTGCGGGCGTAGGCCCAAAGCACGAAATATCGTATCACATATTAAGCCCTTCAGCCTAACATTTATAATTCTGGGCAGTCCAAAGTGTAAATTTGTTCAATCATTTCTAGAGTTTAAATGTTTTCCATTTTATAAATCGAATCTTATTTATTTATTTATTAAAAGATAACTACATTTGTGTGAGATTAAAATTTTATTTTGTTCAATCATTTTCTTGAGTTTAAATGTTTTCCATTTTATAAATAGAATCATATTTATTTATTAAAAGATAACTACATTTGTGTGAGATTAAAAATAAAAAAAATAAAAATTCCCCCAAAAAAGTGTCAGTCACTCCACTTCTTTTCATGCAATTCAAATAACATATCAAGTCTCGGCTATATAAAAAATGAGCAAAAAAACATCTTTGTTATTTAGTATGTGCATTTTAATCTTTATAATTTAAAAATTATAGCAAATTGCCCCTAATCATCAATTTTGATTATTTTACTTTTATAAAACCACCCAAAATGCAAATTTTTTTTTTTTTTTTTTATAAAACCCCAAAATACCCCAAAACTCCATTTTTTTTATTTATTTATAAAATCCCCATATATAGTATATTTTAAAAAATCCCCAGATATTCCAAACCACCAATTTTTTTTTTTTTTTTTTTTTTTTTTTTTTTTTTTTTATAAAACCCCCAAAATTTTGAA